ACCCTCCCCCCCCCCTAGATTGGGGCCCCTATGTTATGTTAAACAAAGAATTGGCTTGGAGCAGCCTTATCTCTTTACTATTTGAAATACTTCATAATCATCTATGGAAAAATTACCCTCGGTATCTCTTATCTTTTTATTATATTGCACCTTTTTACAACGAATATCATTGTAATATGCGCATTCCCCACCAGAAGCATGCATGACAATATCATCACCGAAACGCGAACCATGGTCATATCGACAATATATTGCATAATCTATATTTTCTATATTACTAATAATTGCATCTTTGACATCATTATTTTTGAAAGAAAAAATAAAACTATCTTTAGTTTTATCCCAACTACCAGAAGATCTCCTCCATATTAACGGATTATATCCACCAATAATTTCATCTGTTCCTTTTACTTTAATAAATGTAACGGTATGAGATATATCATTACATAATTCGTGAAATTTTTTAGGTGTAAATCCATCTCGACTTCCTCTTAATAATAATTGAAAATTGTACGGTAAATGAAATTTTCTGACATGCGAAATTTTGCTATTAACATCAGCAATACATCTTGAAATTGTTGAAATAATATCTAAATTATTTACAATTTTTGAATCAATAATTCCATCAATTTTAGGATTTCTGGGAAGTGAAATATTGTCAGTTGAATCAAAATCGGGATCCAAATGAAAATTTAACAAAGTTTCGTAAAGTTTACGTTTTAAAAGGTTTTTATAAGGATGAATTTTTTGTAAAAATTCTTTAGATGATAAACTAAAAAATCTAATTAAAGATAAACAATGTTGTAAAGTATTTTCCATTGTTTTGAAATCATCATCTGACCAAGTATTAGGATCTGGAAGAAGTGTAGGATTTTGTGCAAGACCCCATTTTAATACATGTTCCCAAACTTCAATCTCCTTCATTTGTAAATCGTCCCTTTTAATAAGTTGAACTAAAGATTTTTCAGGAAGTGAAGTGAAATCAAGTGATTTAAATATTTTTTCTGGAGATTTTACCATAAAATCTGTACAAAATTGTTGAAGTTGTAATAAAGAATTGGATTGAAAACTTGTTCGATGAACAAGTTCAAAATTCTGTTCCATCCATTCGGATTTATTTTCAATTAAATAATTTTGTATATAATCAACAAGTTCCTGAAGAAGAAACTCATCCGCAGCCAACATAATCTTAATAATTTCCGAATTATCTCGCCCATTCAATGGGAGAATACCACCATAAATAAATCTAAATTAAGAATGTGAAGTTTGAATTTGAATATGAATAAAATTTGCTGGTATTATAATAATAAAATTATGTATTATTTGTCTGCAAACTTACTTTAAAATAATTTGAAAGATTTCCGGTGATATATTTGGTAACTTGATGTGAACTAAAGAATTATCTTTATACTTTTTATTAGAAGTCAAAATTCTTCGTAAATACGGAGAACGGCAACATAGAATACTCATATGAGCACGGAGAATTTTTACATTAGGGTCTTCACCAACTTCAATCGTAATATCATAATATTCATCTTCTTCTAATAATTCAATGTAATTTTGACTTAATTTCGAAAAAAATTGATTAGACATATTTTTCGTCTTTTTTTTAAAAAAAATAAAAAGAAAAAAAAAATTATAATTAAATGTTGTACAACAATAGGACTCCAAACTATATATGAAAAGTCTTTTTCCTTTTTTGGTCATTACATAATGTCGGCGTCAGTGCCGATCTATCTATTTAAAACGAAAAAAAAAAATTATAGTTATTTTGATTGACGTCCATTTCTTTTGACAAGACGTGTACTTTGCCCAAATTCTACAGTTATCATGAATTACAGTATATGTCAGAGCCAATATTGTAGCGACAACAAACGAAATTAAAACCAAATCGTCTTCCACGTTATAAATCTTATAAGTTGAAATACCTTTAAAACCTTTCGATATAAGTTGAACTCCTTAAAACTTATATTTCGGTATTTGATAAATCGCAAAAAAATTTCGCTGAAAAATTTTTTGAATGTTATTAATCATCTGATTTGATTTATTTATGAAAAAATGAATTCTAAATTTAAGTACTAGGATCTAAGAGCTTTTTTTAAGAAAACATTCTTATTTTATAGGTTTATAAATATGATTGTTTTGTTTGCATTCAATAATTTATTATATTTTCTATAGTCCCTTGTTAATGTAGTAGACAAAACCTGAGAGTTTTGTCAGAGAATGAATCTGAAACTTTGGCAAAGTTAATTTCATTTAACTATTTTTAGAAAAAATAAATTTAATACCGCTCGATCTTCGGTCAAATTTATTATTACGTGACTTTAGTATTACAAACTCATTACATTAAAATTTATATGAAATGATAATGATAAATAGATAATAACAATATTTTTTATTATTTATTTTTTGTATACACAATTTAAAGTTATTAGTTATTTAATGTTTCCTATAAGATTGTTCCATTATACTTCTACCAAATATCTTCGAAATGGTTAATCATTATATACCCACATGGTTGCTCACCGTATGGATTGGAATTGATTATCGAATCTTTTCTATAGATTATTAAATCAGTTTCTAATTTTAATAAAAATAGACACGTTGAAAATGGCTTTGGAATAGATCGGATTTTTATGTAAAAAAAATTTGAGAACAAGAAATAGCATCAACTTCAACAAAGAACATATAAATTATTTAAATAAATCTGTTCTTTCTCCAAGGAGATTCAAATTTTAGATGTACTAATTATACTATGTATAATATATATATATATATAGATTGGAGCTGGAACATTTCTCTTAGAATTATCAAATGAGGCATTTATCGTCATTGATAAGAAAAAATTATTTCTCGCATCAATTATATCTAATAATTTAAATCTTATCCATGTTGATATATTGTAAGGATTATCTTTTAAGAAAATCATTTTGATTTGACTTATTTAAATATCGAACCACGTTATATTTAGATCAATGGACTTTTTGTTATTGGTGAATTAATAAAAGTGACGAAACCAGATGAATATGTAGAAGTACAGCAGATTACGTTTGAAGTATCTCTATTGCAGGTTTGCCGTTACGTAAATCCTACGAAATATTACTCTTATTAAAATATTAATTTTTTACTTCTTTATTATAAAGTCTCTTGAAGGAACAACTGGTTCAAATTTTTGAATTCGTAAAAGATATAAGCTATAATTAATTACACATTTGTAAAATTAAAATTAATATGTATAATAATTTAATTTTTCTTCATTTATAAAAAGCCGCCATGTTATGTGTAGGAATGAGCTTGCGCCATCACTTTTATCTACGGATCTTTGTCATTTCAATTCTGATCATAATGTTGGATGAAATGATTAGTATGGATGAATTAAAACGAGATTGAAAGGAAGTTGTAAAAGAATTTAATTGAAACAAGAACTAGTTTAGAAATTTATAGAATATGGTTCATGTAATCGTAAATATATAGTATGTTTGATACTAAATAATTATAACGAGTAACGAGTTAGTTCGAATGTATTATAACAAGTTAGTTCGGAAAAATGGTCAATAATAGTTTAATTACTTTGTATTAATTATTATAAGAAGTATTAATATAATTACATTTTTCGTAAATAATCAATTAAATAATAATATAATAATAAGATTCATGTAGGTGATTATTTACAATCAAGAAATTTTCTTTGATAATGTTTGTTACAATTTACCACAGAAATTTCGTGGTAAAATTTTATGGTAAAATAATTTTCCGAGAAATTAAAATTAAATAATGATGTCATTTATTTCTAGAAAATAGTTATACGACATTACACTTGACTTGGCATGTGACGTTTATAGCAATTTTTCATGGGACAGAAATAACGAAATAGGATAAATATCGGCAATGGTAAAAATTTATTCTTGATCAATACTTAAACGTTAATACAATAACTTAAAAAAGAATTACGCAACGATAAAGTTACGTTAACGTTTGTTTCGTTTTTTCTTGGCAAAGACCTTATTTTCTTATAAATAAATCCGCTAGAAAAATGTTTCTCGATTTTTTCAGAACAAATTTAAATTACATTAAAAATTTTAATCATAACAATTTTTGAATTTTTACACAAATCATAATTTCATTAAGAATGCAACAAGAAAAAATTCCAACAATTATTATTGTCGGTGCAGGTCTAGGAGGACTTAACTCTATCATGCCTTAATAAAGAACAAGGACAAAAAAGAATTCAACGTAAAAATCTTTGAACGTGCAACTAGTCCTACAGATATAAAAATTTCTAATTTTCTAGTTAAATATTATGTTAAAAACTTTAAAATTAACTCACTCATACTGTCACGTATTAGATCGATGGCAAGGATATCATATAGGCTTGTCCAATTATGGAGCTCGATCTCTTTTAAACTGTGTTCCATCCTCAATCGCTTCAAACCTTCCAAAAGCCATACCAAATCCCATTCCTGGTGTAGAAACTCATGGAATAACTATCACTGATCAAATAGGAAGTGTTCTACTTACCCCTCCAACTAAACCATTTAAAGATGTTTATGAAATTGCAAAAATATCTCGTGGCCTATCATCAATTATCACTTATCGTAATAGACTTAGATGTTTTATTAGAAGGCGTACCAGTTCAATGGAATAAAAAATGTATTAAATATGTAGAGACTGAAGGAGGAGTTTGGGTATTTTTTGAAGATGGTTCACAAGAATTTTGTAATATTTTAGTTGGCACAGATGGAATTAATTCTCCAAGTAAGTTATAAGATTTTTTTAAATAATATCTATTATTTGAATTATTCTTAAATAACAAACATTTTTTTTCTATTAATACGAAAACACAAATTACCCGAATTACAAATCATTGATTATGGAATAACCCATGTTAGTGCGGATGTTTCCGTACCTCAACATCTTATGGACAAGGCAAATAAAATCCATGGAAACTTTTTGGTCCGTAAAGCTCTTGGAACAAAAGGAGATTCAACGCTTATGCTGACACGCTTAATACCAATCAAACAAGATGAGAAAAGTGAACCTCATTATAGAGTAACATTAGTCTATTCTTATCTCTCCGAATTGGATAGCGTTGATGTAAATTTGCACAGCTTCATATATATTGAATCCGATAAAGTTAAAGTTGATGATAATGATCCTGCATTAGTTATCGAACATGTTAAACGATTAATTCGAACATTAAGACCAGATTGTGAATTGGCTGATTTATTAATAGAATTATGGACTTGGCACCTAAAACAATTCCAAATGATCCAATAAAGTTTCCATTTAAAACTTATAATCCTGTACAATGAAGAATGATGCGAGATATTGATCCAATGTCTATCAAATCATGGACAAGTAGCCGAGTTGTGTTATTAGGTGATGCTGCTCATGCTATGAGTCCTATATTGGGATTAGGAGCAAATAATGCTATTCAAGATGCTGATAAACCTTCTCAAGCATTACTTAAATATACGGACAGCAATATTTCTTTTATGAAAAAGAAATATTAAAGCGAACATCTGCTGACATATTAAAATCTAGAACTGCCACATTTAAGACTTCTATGCCACTTGGACCTTTTGGCATCATAATTAGAGATAGCATTTTGAAGGTTATAAACGCTATGATAAACTTTTATAGAATTTTTTGTTTGTATTAATAAAATTATTTGATACTTTTTTGGAAAAAAATCATCTTATCATTTCTACCTTAGGAATGATATGTGGCAATGCCTCGATTATTTAACCCCATTGTAAATATACAACCAGCCTGCTTTTTGCTTGTAAGTTATATGAGTTTGACCTATTTTGAGAATTATTTCTTTTTTTTTTCTTTTTTTTTTAATAACATCATATGACATTATATAATTTTATTTTCATGGATATATAACATGAAAAAAATTTTTTATGAAAGAATTTAAAAAGGGTATAACTATTTTTTACCATTCAATTATTAACATTTGAGTTTACCTGTGAAAAATAAAAACTTTTTATTACACGTTATAGTAATTGTTTTGGGAATTGTGAATCTCCAGAGTCAAATTAGGAATTGTTTATATGCTACTAGTAGCAAAATGAACGTGACCACGATAAAAAATTATAATGAAAGTGATACAACAGTGGCTTAGAATTACGTAGAACAAATAAAATTTATGATTGCACGTGATAGTTTATTTTTGTAATTTCGAAATTCAACATTTTATTTATAGCCGTTTGCAAAAAGGTGTAGTCAGTGGTTTTTATCACATGTATGTATAAAGGAAATCGGGAAATCAAAAAATCAAGATCATTAACTAAATTTAGCTCAAAATTAAACTTTATAAGCCAAAATAAAATCAAACTCAAATTTCTTAAATTATATCCAAATTATAAAAAAAATAATAGCTGATACACAATATACTAAACTTAAGTAAACAAGGAAACTGCTTTGGGTGCCGAATGTGTTTATACTGTGGAATTGACTTACAACAAAAAAAATGTTAATGTATAATAACTAAGCACCGAAAATATATTATATGTTGTTTTTAAATCCTCACTATAAACTGGAGGCATACTAAATATTTTGTTTATAAAAGCCGTTAAATTTCATTTAAAATGATCGAAATTTAGCTGTAGAATTTATTTTTAACTTTATTTATGGTTTTTGGTAGTAATATAGCAATAATATTTGTCAGGGAATCTGGGGAAATCTTTAATATTACGAAGTTTATTCAATGATAAGTTGGAAATCTGGGAATTTTCCATGATATTATGATCGACGCCTAACTACACAATTTTGCAAACGGCTATAAATAGCAAAAATGTGACTGATCACACTAATTCGAAAATGGCGATAAATAAAAAGAACCTAATAGGCTAATACATTATATACTCTACATACTAATTTCTAATATAAAAGAATTAACTAAAAGCGTGGCAATGATTCATATTTTAAAGTTCATATCTTCTACGTTCATAATAGGTTCACATCTAAAACTTTTAATTACTCCATTATTTTTATATTTATTAATCAAATTTTTATAATCTTCTCCTTCATAAATAGAATTGGATGTAAGTATGGAAAGTGCAGGTCGGTCTCTCCATTTTTTTAATAATTCTTCCTCCAAGACTTCCAAAGAGAAATTAAAATCATCAAAAAATCTAATTTCTCTTAGATTAATTGGTGCTGATTTAATTAATATTTTTAATATTTCTTTTCTATTTTCTAAAATTTCTTCTTCAGTCTCGTAAGTATAATAATTTGATGTAATTAATAATAATGACTTCAGATTTTGACAAACTTGTAATAATTTTTCAAATTCAATGAAATGATTTCTTGATGGAAAAAGTGCAAGTGATAGATATTCAATCAAAGGACAATTTTCATAAATTTTACGGATAAAAATGAGAGATTTATCACTAAAATTATCATCATCAAATATAAAATCGTAAGGTTTTAATGAAACTTCTTTAAGATGTCCACCACTATTTTCAATTATGATTAAAGTTTCACTTATTGTAAAATAATCTATATCAAGGACTTCAATGTCATTATAGACTAACGTCTTCAATATACTGTAATTAATATAACTAAATTCATTACATTTTAAAGTTTTTATATTATGAAGTTTTGGAAGTAATCCTTTCATTATTATATAATAATCAAAACTATCAATATATAGGAAAAATAGTTTAAGATGATTAAGAAAACCTGCCTTTTTTTCTAATTCAAGAAAGGTTTCTTTATAATGATTATCTGTATAATAATCAACATCAAAATCATCAGTCCATTCAAAATATTTTAAATTCTTCTGAACTTCAATTAATTTAACAATTCCAGAGTTGGACTTTGGTACTGTATTAACAATGATGAGTCTCTGTATATATTGACAAATACGAGCCAATCCATAAAAATATGAAGGATCATTAGATGTATCACATTTTAGTTCACATAATGATTCAAGACAATTTTCAGCTCCTGGAAAATAAAATATTTGGTGTTTAAGTAAATTCATATCTAAACACTTCAACTCTGAAAATTTCTTCATAAAGAGACAATAAAATTCTTGTTGTAAAAGAAATTGATTATAACCAATAGAAGTTATAGAAGTTATAGTATTCAAAGTAATTACATTAATACTTCTACAGAATGATAAATAATCAAACAAAAGTGGTTGAAATGAAACTGATGGTAATTGTATTCCTTGTCTTTTTAGGAATTCTTTTTTATCATCAGATAAATATGAAGCAATGATCATAAATAAATAATTTTTATTACTATAATTTATCTCATAGCACCAGGGATTTTTCCATAAAATCGGAATTACCGTTTCACACCAAATTCTATTGACCATTAGACAAGAAAAGAGTGATTTTGAATCGACTTGTAATTCTTCAAATATTAATAAAAGAATATCTTTATTGAGTTTTTCCATCCTTTTTATCCAAAAATAATGAAAAATGGTTTAGAATAAATACTTTTATAATTAAAAATTTTTTTAAGACAATTTTAAATATGATTTTATCAAAATGTCAAAATTATTTTTTTTTTTAAAAAAAAAAAAAAAAAAACAAATAAATAAAATAATAAATACCGGAACCAAATTCCGGACAAATTAAATTGTGCTGTGCGACCGTGATACCATGAGTGATACCATGCGACCATAATGACGATCAAACAGGGTCTTACAATAACCTGTGATGCTTATTATTAAACACGTGATTGTAGTAATGAATATTTGTGTCTAGTATTTATATTTTAAAATCCATACAGTATTCATTTAAGTTTAAATCTAAATTCTTTGGTTACTCCATATTTATTTTGTTTTTATTTATTAATCAATTTTTTTATGGAAAGTGCAGGTGGTGCGAAAAACCACTCAACGGCGGAATCAAAAATAACATGTTATCCGTTATCTAATTCTATAATTCTTTTTATTGTTTATAAGGATCATTATAATCAATATCAAATTTCGAGAATTAAAAATCGAAAAAATTTTCTGAAATTTTATCAATTTTAAATGAAGTCATTATCGCCGTTTTCAAAATGATGTACGCAGTTAAATTTGAATAAAAAAAAAAGAAAACCGAAAACCGGACGAAAACCGGACGTAATATGGACAAAAAAACGGATGAAAACCGGGCGAATATTGGTATTCGAATATACAATCACAAATAAACTGCGTACACCATTTTGAAAACGGCGATAAATAAACCGTATGTAATTGAATTTTTGATTATAATGGATATAGCTGTTTCTTCATCTTGTGATGAAGGACAGACTGTCTCTTTAAATTGATATTTCATGCAAGAATTTTGTGTAACATAATGTAAGATAGATTCTTTATTCATCGCTAAAATCAGGTCTATCTAGAATAAGCATCCAGGTATCAACCATTGATATTCTTGCTCAAATATTGAAAATTCTATGGGATAAATTGTTCCATTAGGTTATTAAAGATTATTTTCCAGATTTAGACATTCCAAAATTAAGTATTAGTTATTTACTAGTCTAGTAGTATATAAATGGGTTATCATCCGAAAGGATGATGACCATTTATATACTAAACTAGATCAGTAAATAATATTATTTATAAGCTCCCCTTAATTATATTTTAGATATTTTATTCTGTGAATTTTCTTTATGTTTCGTTTCAAGGTTTTCAATATTATTACGATTTTACAAATTTTTTTTTTCAAAATTTTCAATTGCTTCCTCGTATCACGTAATGTTTTTATTAAAATTCTTTTAAATTAAGGGTATTTAGTATTTTTTTTAAAAAAAAAAAAATTTAGTAACTATTAAGTAAATCATATTTAACATAATATTAGAATTGCGTCAGTAGTCAGACAAGATCATGCTGATAGTTTACAGTAAAAAGTATAATTAGATGTTTATATTGAGTTTTGATGTATTTAATATTAGCCTATATGATTGCAAATATATTGATATTTAGTCATAAGCCCATTATATTAAAGTTCATCAAAATCAACATGATCCTAATAGACTGACCAATAACATAAAAATTTTATGTTTTCATATTAAAAAAAAAAAATATGGGGAAGCTTGATACTTTTGATAAATAAACCTTAATCGTTGAATAAGTTAGTTTGTCGGAACAATTTTTTGTCAGAACTTTTGACAATCTTTTGGTCATCACACGGTTCCTGGTTAATTAATTCCAAACTAAAAACACATTTTACGACATTGATTAGGAACTTGTTCAAAGAATTCTTATAAAGCTCATCCTAATATCAATTTATGAACGTTTATTATTAGAAATATTGAATTAATTATTATATAGATTTAATAATTCACTCAAATATTTAAATATTTATCGGTGAAATATTAATAATAAATTTTGATCATTTAATACCGAATAATGTCATCGATAATATACGATACCTACAAATCGCACCAATTCCTGCGAGTAAAACTATCATCTGAAACCGGATTTGAACTGCAGTATAATTTTTTCTTAATGGAGGTAACCTTAGTATAAAATTTTGAATTTTACTTTCTGTTTAGATTAATGCATTTTTGGATTTAGTATTTATTATTAAAAATTTTACTCACAAATTTAATATCAGTTATTATAAATGTCATATGCGTCTATATTCCATTCATATCCGGAAAAATATTTTTTTTTTGGTATTACTTTTAGGCGGATGATAGGATACAACACAATGTTACGTTACGTGAACCTGCGTGCATCACAATTTGTAATTTTGAAACGTTTAAAATAATCAAAAAAAAAAAAAAGTTTTTTTTTTTACAATCCTTCTTTCCAGGTTCAATATCAAACACAGTTTTATATTTATTTTTTTAAAAAAAAATTATAAATAAATTATGTCAACCCAATTTCTTTCAAAATTAAGTCAAAACTTTATTGAATTACTGGAAGATGATGAATATTATGATATTACAATTGAAGTTGGAAAGGATTCTAATGTGAAAATCTTTCATGCTCATATGAATATTTTGTGTTACCGTTCTCCATATTTACGACTAAATTTGGCTTCTAATAAAAATAATAAAAAGAATAAGGATAATGTTTTAGCTCATATTAAATTATCAAACATAATGCCCGAAATCTTTCAAATTATTTTAAGGTAAGTTTATATACAATAAATTTCATAACCTCGGATATTCAGATATTCGAATTCTAAATTCGAAATTTAAATTTTTATATAGATACATTTATGGTGGTATTCTTTCATTGAATGATCAAGACATTTCAGAGATTTTCAATATTTTATTAGCTGCGAATAAGCTACTTCTTCAAGAGGTAGTTGATTATTTACAGAAATATTTTATTGAAAATAAATCTGAATGGATGGAAAAACATTTTGAACTTATTCATCGAGAAAGCTTTCAATCAAACTCTTTATTAGAACTTCAAAAATTTTGCACAGATTTTATGTCAAAATCTCCAGAAAAAATATTTGAATCATTTGATTTCACTTCACTTCCTGAAAAATCTTTAGTTCAACTTATTAAAAGAGATGATTTACAAATGAAAGAAATCGAAGTTTGGAAATATGTATTAAAATGGGGACTTGCACAAAATTCTACACTTCTTCCAGATCCTAGTACTTGGTCAGATGATGATTTTAAAAGCATGAAAAATACTTTACAACATTGTTTGCCCTTGGTTAGATTTTTTAGTTTATCATCCAAAGAATTTTTAAAAAGTGTTCGTCCTTATAAAAAACTTTTAAAAAGTCGACTTTATGAAGATTTACTAAATTCTTATTTGGACCCTGATAGTGAAGTAACCAACAATATTTCATTTCCTAGAAATATTAAAATTGATGGTATTATTAATTCAAATTTAGTTAATAATTTAAATATTATTTCAACTATTTCACGACGTATTGATAAGATGGTAATTAATAATAAATTTGATCATCTAAGAGAACTATATTTACCATATAAATTTCAATTATTATTAAGAGGAAGTCGAGACGGATTAACTCCTAAAAAATTTCATACATTATGTGATGATGAATATAATACTATTACTTTTATTAAAGTAAAAGGGACGGAAGAAATTCTTGGTGGATATAATCCTTTAAAATGGGAATCTTCTAGTGGTTGGGGTCAAACTAAAGATAGTTTTATTTTTTCTTTTAAAGAAAAGGATATTAAAAGTACAATTATTAGTAACATAGTAAAGACAGAATATGCAACTTATTGTAGTGCTTATTGTGGTCCACGTTTTGGAAATGATATTACTTTATATTCTAATGATGAATTTGCAAATTATAATCATAATTATTGTAAAAATTCTTATTATGAGAGAAATATAAGAGATACCGAGGAACAATTTATTATAGAAGATTATGAAGTGTTTCAAATTATAAAGAGATGAGTTTAGTATTAAATTTGCTTATTTAGATTTTTTTTTAACTTTACTAAAGTATTAATTGATTTTAAAAAAAAAATGATTTGTTTTATGTTAATTATAACGTACATTATTCTATCATATATTTTTTCTCAATGTCAGATAGTCACATGGGTTATAATTTTGCACCGCAAACATTATATGTAAATATCGTATATCATGCTTTATATCAGCTTGAGAGATTGTGTTATTTGTGTAATGTGTATACGTATACATATGACGATGCGTTTTTCTGGAACTTTCTTCTAAAGCGTATTTGTGCCACCCTATCCGACCTTGAATAATCAAAAACACGGTTAATCTTGTGATTTAATTTTTTTTTATCATAATTTTTTGAAATATTCAATTAGCCGTTCTTTATTTCTATCGCCTTAAATTTATTAGTGGCTTATTCCTTTATCCATCAATTAAGGAAAGTTTAACAACATAAATTAATGGTAAGTAAAATTATGTTTTAAATATATGTTAATAATTTTGAAATTTATCAAGTTTTCACCTATTTCATAAACGCATCTTATAAGCAAATGGTTAAAAGTGAATTTAAAGTATAGCCTCGAGTTTTGGTACAAGAATATTAAATCTATTTTCATATAAATATGTGATATTTATTGATAAATGGATGTTGTTTTTATTCTTTAATTATTCGTTAAATTTTTCTTCTTGTAGTGAGATGTTCATTATTTCTGACCAAAATTCTATTTCGGTGTTACATAACCATCCTGGTTTAGTGAAAAAAAATATAGCTGAATTATTAATTTAACGAATTTAAAACATTAGAGTAAAATAAATGATAATAAATTCATGTTATTGAATTTATTTCTTTTCTAACGAATTATTTTGTCAAACTCTCATTATATTATTATTTTACCATTAATATATTAAGTTATGAAATATTTTAACAATTAAAATATATCATAAACTATTCAATTTATTTTTGAACTTTTGATGGTATCGTACATCTATCCATATTAAAAAGTCTATCTATTATAAATTAAAATTTTTAAGATATGATTAAAGCGATACTCTTACAAGAAGAGTGGGATCCAATTTTTAAATTAGACGAAGTTTTTATTTAAAAATTTGTTACCGAACTATAAAATTTATCCGATGATGATCCGCTTATATAATCCAATTTTCAAATTTGATTTGTCCTCTTTTGCAGATTATGACGTAATAGAAGTAGTATTTCATGCATTCAATTTAGTCATATTTGTAAAAAATCAACATTAATAAATACGGTTATACGGTAACAAGTAACAAGTTTTTTCACTCTTTCACAAATTTGTAAATTATAAACAATAATAATGTCAACAAAATTTCTTTCAAAACTAAGCCAAAATTTTATTGAATTATTGGCGGATGATGAATATTATGACGTTACAATTGAAGTCGGAGAAGACCCTAATGTGAAAATCTTTCGTGCCCATATGAATATTTTGTGTTACCGTTCTCCATATTTACGACGAACCTTGGCTTCTAATAAAAAGAATAAAGATAATGCTTTAGCTCATATTAAATTATCAAATATAATGTCCGAAGTCTTTCAAATTATTTTAAAGTAAGTTTATATGCAATAAATTTCATAATCTCAGATATTCAGATATTCATATTTGAAATTCAATTTTTTGTATAGGTATATTTATTGTGGTATTCTTTCATTGAACGAACAAGATAATTCAGAAATTTTTAAAGTATTATTAGCTGCAGATGAACTCCTTATTCAAGAATTAGTTGATTATTTACAAAAATATTTAATTGAAAATAAAACCGAGTGGATGGAACAACATTTTGAACTTATTCATAGAACAAGCTTTCAATCAAATTCTTTGTTAGAACTTCAACAGTATTGCACAGATTTTATGGTAAAGTCTCCAGAGAAGATATTTAAATCACTTGATTTCACTTCACTTTCTGAAAAGTCTTTAATCCAGCTAATTAAAAGAGATGATTTGCAAATGAAGGAAATTGAAGTTTGGGAACATGTGTTAAAATGGGGACTTGCACAAAATCCTACACTTAATCCTGATCCCACTACTTGGTCAGATGATGAATTTAAAACAATGGAAAATAATTTACAACATTATTTACCCTTTATTAGATTTTTTAGTTTTTCATCCAAAGATTTTTTACAAAGAGTTCGTCCTTATAAAAAACTCTTAAAAAATCAACTTTATGAAGATGTATTAAATTCTCATTTGGATCCTAATAGTAAACCAACTGATGATATTTTACTTCCAAGGGATCTTAAAATTGATGGAATAATTGATTCAAGTATTATTAATAATTTAAGTATTATATCAACTTTTTCAAGAAGGATAGATAAAATAGATGTTAGTAATAATTTTGCTCATTTAAGAGAATTATATTTACCATACAGGTTTCAATTATTGTTAAGAGGGAGCCGAGATGGATTTACACCTAAAAAATTTCATGAATTATGTGATAATAAATATAATACTATTACTTTTATTAAAGTAAAAGGAACAGAAGAAATTCTTGGTGGATATAATCCTTTAAAATGGGAAACTTCTAATACTTGGGTCAAACTAAAGATAGTTTTATTTTTTCTTTTAAAGAAAAGGATATTAAAAGTGTTATTATTAGTAACATAAAAAATACAACCTCTGCAGTTTTTTATCTCAATGTCTGTGGTCCACGTTTTGGTGATGATATTAATATATATTCTTATAATGGCGAATCTAAAGATTATAATTTTAGTAATTGTAAAAAGTATTCATATGAAAGGGAGATAAGAGATACTGAAGATCAATTTTCTATAGAAGATTATGAAGTATTTCAAATTATAAAGAGATGATTTTGGCATTATTTTAGATTATATTTGATTATCTAGATTTTTTTTTTTTTTTTTTTTTAAAAAAGTATCTATCTATTAAAAACAAAAATGAAACATACAAACAAGAAAACTACAACTAAACCCAACTTCAAAAAAAGAAAAAATAAATTTAACATTAACTATTTTATGCCTGATTTAACAACTTTTTAACCAAGCATTAGTGCCAATGTTAAACTCCATCAAACTCCCCATAGATACTTTACTAACAACTACCATTTTCCTTACGCATTTCATACTTCTCAAAAAAGAAAATAAAATCACAAAAACTACTCTATTTCTACCCTCTCTTTCAAAACTTAAAACCAGTCATCACAGAATTGGCTAGATCCCGCAGTGAAACATCCATCTTCCCGAAAAGAGCATTTTCCACTGAAGAATTGGCTAGATCCCACAGTAGAGCATACATCTTCCCAAAAAGCGCGTTCTCCATAGTAACTTTATCCATTCACAATGACTTGCACAATATTAGCTTTTTGTATTTCTTTGAACAAAACAACTGTTTGTCTACATTTATTTACATTGCTACCACCCAAGCTGAAACTAAAACTCGTAAACTTTTCTCTCACCTGATTACTGTGGATATGGCTGATCCCTTTCTCAGATAAATTTGTTGCCACAATTTGTCCCACAGTAAATCACCTCATTTCCTTGTAATCCAATTAGTTCCTCACTGAATCTTCTGTTACTACTTTTAGATTCCATCTGCATGCCAAAATTTTTTCTGCACCAACAAAAAATTTTTGTAACAAAAAACTCCCAAAAAACTACTATTTCCAAGCTATCCAAAGAACTTCTTCACTATAAAAGGTCAACTTTTCTTTTATTTTTCCAAGCCTCAATTATCACCTACTGACAAAATTTTATTTGGAGCAACACCTAGCCCTTCCTAGCTATTTTTGGGTCACTACCATTAAGTTGACAGCAAGAAATAAATTTTTTGTCAAAAAAATTTAAGACCTTTTAACAAACTTCTTCTAAACCTCATATCAAAATGTTTGTAAAAGAATGAATAAACAGTTGGTAATGTTGAAATGTGTAAAATAATAAATTTCTCTAAGCACTTTTGAACTCTTCTGCCTTTTTCTTTCATCCTAAAATTTTTGGTCTGAATGATCGGTGGGAAGAGTTCCTTCTCAATCTTATCTAGATTTTTAACCTTTACTAAAATATTAAATTTATTTAAAAAGATGATTTGTTTTATGTTTATTAATAATGTATATTGTTGCACATATCCTCTTTTTCATGCTAATTTATTTACAAATCATATCTATCAATTTAAAATTTGCCACAGTATTCAAATATTCATGAGGGTTCAATATTTATTGGTTCATCTCGCTCATAACAATATATATATATGCTGTATCCCTTAAGTCATTTTGAGCCAAATTTGCCTGCAACTTTATTTTTAATTAAAGATACTTTTAAATGTTTTAAAATATTTTATTAAAAAACAATATTTTTGTAATAAATTCTATAAGTAAAAATTGAAAAAAAACTTCAATTTAATTAATGATTTTTTAAAAGTAAATGATCAACAAATTATTACTAATTGTGGCTACTTATTATTTTGATTTAATAATTGAAAAAGTTTTTTTAAAAAAAAGATTTATTCAAATTACAAACTATTAAGAAAGTTATAAAATATTTACTAGTAATTAAATAATTATAAAAATAGAAGAATACATGTATTTAATATTTTGGATAAAATATAAAAAAAAGAAATTATTTAAATTACAAACTAAGAAACTTTAAAATATCTTATTACTTAAACTTATTGTTTATATAAATCAAAAAAGAATAAAATAAACAATTTTATTTTGTTTAATGTAGTGTATCAAACATTATTTAAAAAATTAGATATAAACCTTTTTTAAAGCATTAATTTTATTTGTGTAATATCTAAATAATTAGATAAATATAATTAATTTCATGCAAAATTAATTTATTTTATATCATACTATATTTAATACCTAATGACTTTAAATTAACCATACATCACTCAAATCTTCATTTATTACTAGCATTTCATTTATCTTTGCACTATCTTGTGAATCTTCACTTTCAAGTCTCAATTTTTTACTAGTATTTTCATCTGTTTTAATAAATATTTAAATAAATAAAATTAATTTCACAAAAATAATTTGCAAGATTAATTTTTATATATAATATATTACATACTTAATGACTTCAAATCTTTAATTATATAATCATTCAAATCTTCACTTACTAGCATTTCACTTTCAGGAATTTTATTCAAATTTTCACTAGTAAAATTAAGCAAGCGACTTGTATAACAAGGATGTGGATGAGATTCAGTAACAAGATTATTATGCTCAATTAGTGCATTCATGAATCCAGAATATTGTATTTTAATTCTTTATTAATATCTTTAATTTTCTTGCTAAAAGGAAGATAATCCACTTTTTAATAATTTCTAATACTTCCTTAGAAGATGGCCTTTTTAATGGATTTTCATCCCAACATTTTTTCATCAAATCTACATAACATTGTGGAGTATATTCAATAATTTCAGGACATTCACCTTTACAAATACTTAAACTAAGTTGAATATTATGTGCTATATTGTCAAATGGTGGTATTCCAGATGTAAATTCCCACATAATCATAGAAAAACTGTATATATCACTAGCTGGGTATAAGGTTTGCCTCTTAAAACTTTAGGAGCCATAAATGGTACAAAAAATGATTTTACGGGTTGACATAATCCTAAATCACTAACATAGATATTACTCTTATTATGATTTAAAATATTGCCATCATGAAAATCACAATGAATAAGATTTTGATTATATATAAAATTAAGTCCAGAAATAATGCTATACAACATATATAACTTTTGATTCCAACAACTTTCAATTTTTCTTTTAAGTTTCCTCAACTTTCATAAATATTTCCACTATAAAAAATAATAATATATTAACATAAATAAATTATAAATTGAATTAAAAAAATAAATAATATACTATCATACTTCATTTAAAAATTCAATTAAATTTTCATTTAAATTATTATGACTTTTAAGAATAACTTCTACATCTCTATCATCATTTAACCAAATAGCTTTGTATATAGTACCAAATCCTCTCTTATTAAGATATTCAACATCTTTAAATTTATTATAAGGAATCCATTTTAACTTTTCTTCAAGAATAAATTTATCTATGATTGTATTTCCACTTTTTCCAAATCTTTAAATTTAAATAATTAAAGTTTATAATAAAATTTATACTAAAATTTAAGATTAAAATTAACACTTACTCTAAAATTTAAATAGGAATTTAAGGTAATATATCTCTTTACCAACTAAAGTAATAGAAATTTAAGTGATGAAAGAATACAGTTAACAAATAAATGTTATATAAAATATATAACAATAAAAATAACAACAACCTACAAGCTACATTATTAAATAATTTTTTGAGTGAAGAATTTAATTAGTTTAAATTATATGAAAATATTTAACAATAAGTATAATAGAATTAAATAAATAACTTATAAGTTATAACTTACAATCTATTAAATAAAGAATTTAGTTAGTTTAAATTATATGTAAGTATTATATAATAAGTAATAATAGAATTAGATAAATAACTTACCAACTAAAAGAAATTACAAAGTAATTTTTAAATAAAGAATATAGTTTAATTCGTGATCAATATAACAAGTAGTGAAAGTCACTATTCAAATTCGGGGAAAATAAAAAAATCATTTTTTTGCGATTTTCTCGTGATCCAGTAATTCAATTTCAATGAACATTTTTTTGTCATGTAGCTCTCCACGCCCTCTACAAAATAAAAAAAAGATTGTCGAAATTGGACCAATAGATCGTAAGATAATACAAAAACGATTTTTTTCAGAACATGGCTAGATTCCTCACGATTAGTGTTTTGATCCGGGCAGAAACCGTCATCCGGATAAATTAAAAAAATATCCGGTTTCTATCTGGATTATCTGACTCGGATAAAAATCTGGATATATCTGGGTAGAAACTGAAATCTGGATAAAATTATTTAAATTTTTTTTACTGTAGATTATTTTTAATAAATAAAATTCGTAGCATTCATTTAATTTAATGTGGCATTTAATTAATTAAATATATGGCATTTAATTAACTACTAAATTCGTGGCATTTATTAAATTTATAACAATTAAATTTCGTGGGATTGATATAAAAATTTATTTATAGCATTTATTTTTTTATTTATAAATTTAAGTACAGTTAGTTAATGTAGTCCTAAACCCTAACCAAAATAAATAAATACTGTAATCATTTTCTTGGATTTTTTTGTAATTTCACTTGAAACATATTTTTGAATAGTGGAAAATAATTCATAAAATTATGGAAAACAGTAACGTTCAAGATTATATTACTCTAAGTGAAAATGAAGAGTCCAGTGATGAAGTTACAGAAATTACTCTAATACTAAAAAGAGGATGACCTAAAAAATTATCTAGGACACTTGGAAAATAAAGGATGATAAGTGCTAGTAAAATAAGTTAACTATACTTGAATTAACAAGTCAAATATCAAATAATCCAAATCCCTTTAAACTAACTACTACAATGACTAAACCACAAACAAAAGTGAGTTGGGTATGGGAATATTTTGTTAGAAAACAAAGTGAAAATGGAGAAATACGTGCATATTGTCAGTTTATATCAGATAATGGAGAAAATGTACAAAAAGTTATAAATATGATGGATGGAATAACTAAGGTTGCTGGGCGAAACTAAGTAGTTTAGACAATTGTTGAAATCGAAACTAGTTGAAACATTTTATTAAAAAATTTAAAATTTGCGAAACTGCGAACTGACAAAACTGGTAAAACTGTAAAAGGTTTAGACATATTTTTACATAGTAATTAATAAAGTTTACCATTTATTATAATAAATTATATAATTAAATATAAATTTAACCAGTTTTGCAATTATAAAATTTAATATACATTATATTAATTATTTAAATCATTATATATATTAAAATATATAGTAAGTTTAATTAATAACCAGTTTTATAATTTTACTTTTTATATATTATTATTAGTACAGTCAGATCTTTATATAGTTATCTAATTGGTTCTATAAAAATTGGTAACTATATAGAGGCTCGCTTTTACTATGATGTAATTATATAAAGGTTTTTTTATATAATAAGTATATAAATTGGATTTTCCCAAAGGTATGATTATAAGGAGAAATTTTATATGATGTAACTATATGAAATATTACTATGGAAGTCTAATTATATTTATTAATAATTATATAATATTTATTTGTAAAAAATTTATTTAAATATATATAATAAGAAGTTTGCTATTTACCACCAATGGTGGTTAGCACCAGTATCACGTGATTATAATTAATTAATGAAACTTAATTATTTTATTTGTGTAATTTTTTTATACAACTGACTAAAAAATAAAAAATTGCGTACACCTTTAATTTTTAAGAACACCCCAGTCAAATAAATAATAATGGCAAAAAGAGTATAAGAAATAAAAAAGAATAAAAATAGTAATAAGAAACAATATAGGATGAAATGATAATGGAAAAAAAACAATAGGAGACAAAATAACAATGAAAAGAAAAGTATAGGATGAAATGATGAAGAAAAAGCAATATAGAATGAAGTGATGATAGAGAAAAAATGATATAGGACATGATGGTGATGAAAGAAAATTATAAAGTGATATAGAACGAAATGGTGATGAAAGGAATGGTATGAGGATGAAATTATAATGATGAAGTGATATAAACCGAAATGGTAATGGAAAAGAATAATAGAAGATGATCCAGATGAAATAGCAATGAAAAGAACAGTATATATGGAATGAAATGATGATGAAAAGCAATATAAAATGAAATGATGATAGAAAAATAGGAGACAAAAAGGTGATTAAAGGAACGGTATGGGTTGAAATGATGATGAAAATGTGATATAGAATGAAATGGGGATAGAAAAAAATGATAAAGACGAAATGGTGATGAAAGGAATGAAATGATGATATAGAACAAAATTGTAATAAAAAAATGATATAGGATGAAATAGAGATGAAAAAATAATGTGGAACGAAATGGAGATGGTAAAAGAATGATAGGAGACGAAATGGTAAANATGAAATGATGATGAAAAGCAATATAAAATGAAATGATGATAGAAAAATAGGAGACAAAAAGGTGATTAAAGGAACGGTATGGGTTGAAATGATGATGAAAATGTGATATAGAATGAAATGGGGATAGAAAAAAATGATAAAGACGAAATGGTGATGAAAGGAATGAAATGATGATATAGAACAAAATTGTAATAAAAAAATGATATAGGATGAAATAGAGATGAAAAAATAATGTGGAACGAAATGGAGATGGTAAAAGAATGATAGGAGACGAAATGGTAAAGAAAGAAACAATAAACATAATAGGAAAGAAAAAAAACCATAAAGCCCAAAAAAGAAGTGAAAGTCCGACCAAAAAAAAAAGATATATAGTTAGTTAAAGAAAATTAAGTTCCAATCCCAAAAGACCAAAAATGAACTTACTATTTATAAGCACAGGTCAAAATATAATAAATTGGCCACCAATCGGTCATATAACTGATTGGTAACTGATTAGTTACTGATTCTTTTAATCAGTTACCAATCAGTCATCAATCAGGTGTTAATTCCAATCGGTTACCAATCAGTTATATGACGATTAGTAGCCGACTGATGACTAATTGTCAATATCAACCAATCAGGCATCATTGGGTCATCACCTACAGGTCGAATTTATTAGGCCTGTTCAATTCCGTTCAGTTGGATTTTTCTTTAATTTTTTTTCGAACTACGTAATTTTACATATAAAGCACCAGAACCATCAGTTTTCAGTGATTTTGCATATAAAAACACCGGAACTATTAGTTTCGGCATTTTTTTTTGTAATTTTACATTTAAAAAACGCCAGAACTAATAGTTTCGGCATATTTATTTAACCAAATGACCGATTAATGACTGTTTTGTCAATCAGTCATCAGCCAGCATGTGACCGATTGATGGCAGGATATAAAAATGTCATCAATCGGCGTTCATTTTAATACATTATAAAATTAAGGTCAATCACCACCTATCATGCATATGCCGGTTGGTGACTAATTGGTAGCCGGAAGAATAGAATACTAAAAGCCGTGGTCTGTTGCCTCTTGTTATCTGAAATTATTACTCAGGACAATTTTTTTCTCAATGTGCCGGTTTGTGTATAGTCGATCTTTACTTGTACAACTGAACAGGTTTGGCT